CTCTAACCCGGACCAGATGGAGGAGTCATTAGACTGTACACGCTTTCTTCAGTGGTCCGGACAGTTGCGCGCGCGCGCGCGCGCACGCGGGCGCATGCTGTTCCGTGGCCGATGATAATGACGACGTTGCAAATCCTCGTCGATTTCGTCGGTACCCGACCACCGCGTGCGCTTCTCGCACGGCTCGAATCGGCGGCGGTTCACCCCTCACCTGAAGACCTTTCCAATTTTCAGGGAGCACTCGCGAGAAGCGGATACGCAGTCGATCTCGCTCGGCTCCGGTTAGATAATCGAGCGGGTTCACCCGCGTCATTCACCAATCAGAATGACCGGGCTATTTAAAAAGTCACGCGGATGATTATCGCGGCACATCGGAGAGAGTTGCAAGGAGAACTGCGAGGACGATGATAAGGCGTTCGGTTCGGCCATGATAATAGCAGGTTGAAAGTGTTGGCCGGCTAACAGAAAAATTCTGCGTATCAGTTATCCTTTCCTTTCTCTTCACGACTGCGAGAACAATCGTAATCGTCGATCGGTTTCGTGGAAGATGGCGAAAATGAAAGGACAATCGAGTACGGAATGGAATTGCGCTTCCGAATAGTTAATCAAGCCGGTGCGGTTTCCACGGGACTTTACGTCCTCGCGATCGATATTCACGTATCGACTTGGGTCCGCGGCTGAACGATCTGGGAGACAACTTTCGCATGGTCCTCCACGACGCTTGCGACACCGCGCGCACGGTTCATTTATCACATGCACGCCGAATTCGGTCCGGTGTTTCGTCAGCGAGCAACATAGGCCCCGCTTCGTGGTCGCCGCCATCGTCACCGGTATGAAGAAACGCGCCGCATTTTATCGCGGGGTCGGCTGTGGAAATTAATCGACGCACGCCCAAGAGAGTACGGTGCATACCGTATCGTTCGAAAGTCCCAAGACGACGTGCCTTTCCGTCTCAAGGACGAACCGTGCGCAATCGTCGAATATTCCCGATCGGGTCATCGCGAAGTCGAGCGAATCGATCTTATCAACATTCGACTGGCGTGTAACCGTCCTAAAGAGTAGATGGACATTATCGAGTGGGATCTAACGACCACTCGATGTGTGTATGTTCGTTACTATCAATAATTGGTTGCTGAAAGTAGAGGGGAGACCTGAGCCAGAAGGACACATTTTGCAGAATTCCGAAGTTACAACTTCTCAGACAACTAATTGATGTGACTGACTGTACAAACATGATAGGGACAACGTTTCTCCATATGTTTATGCAACAAACATGTATAAACCGTATATTTTCCTTTGTAATAATCGAAATATGAACATTGATATCTTGTCTCGGTACTAGCTAAAGTTGGCTAGCAACTCGGAGTAAGAAAGTCACTTGCTAAATACGGGAGACTGGATCAAGTTGGACCAGTTCTCAGAATTTCGAAGTTACAACTTTTCAAGCAACTAATTGTTGTCACTGACTGTACAAACCTGATAAGGACAACCTTTCTCCGTGTGTTATGCAACAGTTGTGTATTTTCTTCCGTAATAACCGAAATATGAACACAGTACGATGTGACCATGTTGGTCCATATTGGGTCAAGTTGGCTAGCAACTCAGAGTAAAAAGGCCACTTGCAAAATACGAGAGATTGGGTCAAGTTGGACCAGTTTTCAGAATTTCGAAGTTACAACTTCTCAGAATTACTTGTTGTGACTGACTGTACAAACATGATAGGAACGACCTTTCTCCATGTGTTTATGCAACGATTGTGTAAATCGTATATTTTCTTCTATAATAACCAAGATATGAACATGCCCCGGGTCAATGTTTCATGCGAAACATTGTATCATATACAGGAAACTTCGTTCTAACTAATAACACGTCAGTTATTCACTCACGATGTAGAATATTAATACCAAATATCGAGAGGCTCGAAAATATACTTGGCTGCTATTAAATCAGTTTTCTTTTTCTTATTTTTAACTGCAATATTATTCCGATTTTAATAAAACTTTGGGAAAAGTATTTATGTTCTAAAAAGAATATTTTGCAATTTTGTTTCCACTGTCCTCTCATGATAAATACATAAATAAAACCGACATACCTCTTGGGCCAGTCAAACCTCTCTCTCTGAACGCGCCCCCTGAACTAGTCTCTCTTGAACGCGGAGATCAGTTTATGAGACGGACGATAAAAATTGAAGAGATGATATCAGGTTATTAACGACGTTAAACGAAACGATCAGCGTGCGTAGTACGTAAACCTGAAACACCTGAGAACGTGAAAGAAAGGCTCGTTAACTTTCCACACATCGCGATTAAAGCATGTACAAAGGACTTGTGTTACTGACTCTTTCAATTGATCCAACGTCCCCGAACGCTAAAGAATAATGGACTGAAGAATAATAGAAAGGTCTTTTTTTTTCTCGCGTGCGTCTATCTTTTATAATGTACACGGAGAAGTAGTAAGAGCTACACGGCGTTTCCTGTGGGTCGTCGCTAGGTGTGGTACCGCCTGTCTTTTGTGCGCGCGTTTTGCTCTCGGCTCGGTTCAAGGAGATCCAGAAGCGACGGCGTGGCGTACCAACGACGGCGAAACATGCGCCGAGTTACGATGTTCTGAATCTGAATCTCTTTCTCTCTCACGGTAGACATGCCGCGCGCGCGCGAGCTGTGCTCCTGCCTCGCCCCGTATTCGGGTCAGCCGAGTAGTAGAAATTACGTAACACGTGTGCGCCGGGGCGGTTCCCACCGAGCCGCCTTACCGGAAGTCGAGAGCACGTTTTGTCCGTAAGGACGCACGGGGGGTCAGCCTCGTAAGAACGGCGCGTGAGCGTAAAAATATGTCGTACTTCGCGCGGGATTATGCAGATTCGATTTCACGGATGGATAAAGAATATCGCGAATTGGAAACATCGAAGAGGTTTAAGTGTTTATTCAGTTGGATAACGAGTTCGAGAACTATGAAGGATGATATATGTCACTGTGGTCTCCTCGGAATATATTATATATAAGATTAAAAAAATAAATATAGCATTCAACTCTATATAATCATCTTTTTTGAGACATCTGAACAATCTGGACTAAATCCGGACCACTTAATCAACTTTCAATACAGCTTTATTGAAAATAAATATTCTTGGATGCATTTTCTCCAAAGATATAAGAAAGCTATAAGATAGTAACGCAATAAAACCAATATCTGCAAACAGACTTGTGCTACTTTAAACTTTTTCTGGACTGTTTACGAAAGTTGAGCGATCGATTTGTACAGATCCAATATTATACGCGGAAAGTTAAAAGGAAAAACAGATTGATACGATTAAATTTAAGCAACACGAATATTGCAACGTAAACTAAGTCTGAGCAAATTGCACCAAAGCAGACCCAGAAATGATTTTGTCCACATGGCGGATTATTAATTCGTCAAGAAATTCGAGCGTAAAAGTCGCGTTTGATACGCGGAAATTCTTCCAAGGGGTTTATAGACTCGGCGCAGGATCCAGATGCAATCTAGTAAGCTGCACCTTTTACGACGTCGTCGGCCGTACGCCTCTCGTGCTCGTGCTCGCGCTTAACAGCCGCGCATTGGCGGGCATTTGGTCGCGTTCGAGCAAGCGATAAGGAATTTTGCCGCGCATACCATTCGCGCGTACACGAGCGTTCACCGATCCGCGAAACTCACTCTCTCCTCTCCATCTCTTCTGCTTCCTATTACCTATAAGCGTACCCTCCGCGATGTAGATCCGCTTTCGTGGCCGGGGAACCAGACCAGTCGGGGCTGAAACCCGTATCAATTCCATTCCGTGGCTCTGGCAATTTCGATTACACCTCTCGCGCGACACGATCAAACTACTTCCTCTTTCGACCGCGTTGACGCCTGAGAGTGCGCGTGTCTGACATGTACCGTGCGTTTCTACTTAATGTCACCGAGACGCACGTAGATTTCCCGCACATTGCAAAATAAAGTGTTTTAAGCACTTGTTAAACGGTCTACTTTACAATTAGTTAAACGGTTAACTAATTGTCTCTTAATGTTGAAGAGACGACGTATGAGGTTAGACCAATCAGAACACACATACGTGTATGTTTATTCAGACTGGCATATTAAAAATGGGAGTGTATTAATGTGTCGTTTTAACACACTTCAGTGTCACTTCATATTGCAGTGCACTGTCCTTATGAATACTCGAAACTACTGATTATTCTTGACTTCTTCTTGACTAAATTTCTCGTTATTCTTCAAACTCCCAGATAGATTTATTTTTGTATTACGCATATAAAGAAAAATATTTGCACACTCTTTTCTGAACTGTGTGGTGAGACTTTAAAAACTGTGTGGTGAGACTTTAAAAATTAATTTAATGATTTTAAAAGACTGTTATATATTCAATTAGATACAAAAATGGATCGGTAAAAGCCAAAACAAAATGTGTAGCAATTTTAATTGAGACTTATAATTTCCAAATTGCGAAAACACAGTAACATAATAAATGCAAATATTTTCACCTGTTCCACTTGACTAACTCACGGTTTGCACTTTTCTTGCAACTCATTGTTTCAGTTGGTTATTTTCTAATACCGGTTTTTACGAATTATATTAAAGAGCACCTACATTAAGACCTACATTAAGACTACATTAAGGTTTATATTTATTATGTTATTATTTTCGCAATAAATTATAAAGTTGTAAGTCTCAATAAAAATTGTTCGTTACAACCTGTGCTAGCTCTCACTAGCTTGTTTTTGGAGAAAAATTTTTATAGGAAAAATATTGAAAAACTTTTGTGTATGCACAAATATTCAATATACTAATACAAGAATCTACAGAGTGTAACATTTTTACAAAAACTTCTACTTCGTTCCTGGTTGACAATTTAATGAAACTCCTCTGAAAATTTCTAATCGGAAAGGCCGCTTTCTTCCGTGCGCAGCACGCGTAACGTCGCATCAACGTATTAATGCACGTACTAGCTCGACTGTCTTGTAATAAAGATCCTTCTCTATTCCCAGGTAATCCCGGCGTGTCTATTCGCTCTAACGGAAGCGCGGCGAACTCCGCAGCTCCGGCCCCGCGTGGCGGAACCTCAAGTATACTACGAGGAAGAGGACAACCAGGCAGCTGAGGACGATTTTGTGGGCGTCTATCAGCCGCGCACTCGAGCGCTTCCTTCGCCGCGTTCGAAGGACACGCTGCACGCATCAAAGCCGCCACCGGTGCAGACCATTAGAAACTATAACAAGGTCAACGACGACGGATCCTTCACTTTCGGCTACGAGGCAGCCGACGGTTCCTTCAAGGAGGAGACTCGCGGTACCGACTGTGTCGTGCGCGGCAAATATGGTTACATCGATCCCGACGGCAACAAGAGAGAGTTTACTTACGTATCCGGCAACCCCTGCGACCCCAACGCGCCCAAGGACGAAGAGGAAGAGCTGCCAGAGAAAGAAGAGGAAGAGCTCTCCGGGCCGGCGAATTATCCCGCCGTCAGACCTGTACCACGACCCATCCCAGTGAGGCCAACATACCAACCAGCCACCACTCGTGCACCCACCACGATATTTCAAACGGAGTACCAGCTCGACGACGACGCCAGTCAAGAGCTGGAGGAAGAGCTGAAGCCGCAACTGCGACCCTCAGCGTTCAGAAGACCCACGACCTTAGTACAGGTCACACCTTCTACCGCGCTCTACGAGTCCTCGCCATCCCCTAGCCCGTCTCTCTATAGGTTAGCTTCCACCCCGACGGCTCAATATCAGACCACCGCGTCGCCCGTTCTACGTACCCAACCCACCGCCTCGACCATCTATCAGCCGCTCGAGACGACTACACGCCGACCGGTGACCCGACACCCCAGACCCCAGTCGGTAGCGATAACCCCACGACCCCACGTAGCCCAAGTGGCCGCGCAATACGTCTCCCCTAGTAGCACCGAGCACCCCGGTCTCATCTACACCCCGAGTCGCCCTGCGGCCACAGTGTCGCCCCACCTGCGCACCACGACCGCCGCTAGCACACCCCATCTCGACTTTGCCGCCGAGCTCGAGCGTTACGTGAACACTGTCGGCGTTCCCGCTGTCCCCAGGCCCCAGGCGCAAGCCTCGCCCCAAACCTCGAGAGTTAAGCTAACCGGTCAAACGACGGTGACCGCAGCCTCCGCAGCCGCAGACCCCATCTACCAGTCGGAGCTTGTGTACGATCCCGCGACCGGTCAGTACAATACCCAGCTTTATCAGACTCTGCCCCAAACCGTGGGTGACTTTAGCCTCAGTCACAAACTCCAACCGTTCGTAGCCCAGCCCCAGTCCCTACTTGGTCTGCAGCAGCTGCAGCAGCTTCAGCAGCAACGTCAAGGCCCAGTCTACAAGCAGGCTCAGTCGGCGCCCGCCCCTACCGTGACCCAGCCGCAGGAGGTGCTCTATAGGAAGCAGCAGGCGCAGCTACTGCAGCAATCCCAGCAGCTTTACGCGCAGCAGCAACGCCGCCAACAACAGCAACAGCCGCAGCAACCTCATAGGCTTCAGCTGCTGGAATCGCAGAGGGAACCCCAGGCGTTCTATTACGTCGCGCCCTTGAAGGCCTCCGCCGCCGGCAGCACGTCCCTCTCAGTAGGTCAGATCGATCAGTTTCTCCGAGGTAGCAACGCCAATTACTGATACGGCCTCTAAATCGCGGCGTTAAAACATTTCCCGGTCTCTCGAATCGTCCCTCGGTATTTATCATTCGGTATTGTCTCGAGCGTCTCGCGAGCCAAGCCGCCGTGGATCTCGCGCTGATAAACCGTGACGACGGCCCGCGCGCGTGAAAGATGTGTTACGCGTATATATATATATAAAAGGATATATATATATATATATTATATATTAAATATCTATACATATATATCGCGCGCGTGTATGACGGCAAGCTGAAGCTTGGATATATAAAGTATAGGGTGAATGGCACACACGGGCGCGCTTCGATGCATGCGTTGGAATGTGCGTGTGCATTAAATTTGATATACTCCGATTCTCGGGAAAGGCGCGAACGTAATTACAGTGAAAAATGTTGCAATAGAGGCCGCGGATTTACCGTTACTGTCGATCGTAAGAGATGCCGACCTTCCGAGCGGCTTACTCGAGGAGATTTATTGTTACAAACGGTCTTCGCGGTTTCTCCGAGCTTGTGTAACTTTCGTTTTTCAGAAACATGACGGGTGAGGGTTCGACACTGCCTTGTTTCCAATAGCGCTTTCGTGCTTCCGTAGTTGTACGATAGTATAAACATCCGTCTTTTCTTATCACACGTGCCTAGAAGCGTTCCTACGTCCGCTCATCCGCTCTTCTCGGTCAAGGTGCAAACGATAATATTAGCCGTCCAATCGGGAAACCGTCCACTCTTGTCGAAGGTGAAAGCGATTAACGCATGTGATATCGGAAGGAGCCGCGCGCGCACGATTAGGTGAACGGTAACAGCCGCGAGAATGGCGAATGATGCAAAGAGCCGATGGCACAAGACGTGATATGTAACAAAATTGACCTTCATTTTACGTTGTCATATTTTTCTCTCTTTTCTGCCTTCACCTCATCATTTTTTTCCTTTACTTTTCGCACAAATATCTTGGACGATCTCGCACGTTTCGTTTTGAGCATAAAGGTCAAATTAATCCAAAGGAGTTTTGACTTTCGATAACTGACGACTTTCATCGAAATAACGCATTTTACGTGGGAAATAGTGCGACCACGTTGATCGCGAGTTAACGCCGAGCCGGGATCTTTCTCATTTCTCAGGCCGATCCCGAGAGCATTTCTTTTCAGTCCGGTATCATGTATGTTTATGAGGCACGTTAGAGAGTGAAAGCCAACGACCTGACGTAATACTCACGCACGCATGTACGATGTATTATCCGTGGCAATTTCTCGCAGGCCTCCCTAACGCCGTACTATCATAGGTATTCATGGAGATTCCGCGACACGAGCGGAACACTCGTCGCGCGAACCTTTTAAGCACGACTCTAAGCCACGTAATAACGTTCGAGCGACTCGATTACAAAACGTCAATTCGACGTGGGATCGAGTCGCATGAGAGGCGAGTGAAACGCGATCAGATGCCAGGCGGATAATTAGTCGAATCAAATCTGCGCGCGATGTTTCGAGTTGTGCACTTTCCACCGGACGTACAGAGCTCGAGGCGTCGTATGTCGCGCTGCTGTATCGTAAAACCTGTCGAACGCATCACGATGAAATCTTACCTGACCCTGTGAACTTGAGAGTCTCGCCTCTGCGACTTTGCGCAATAACATGATGTAACTGATCACGTGTCAAGTATACAAACATATTGCATATTGCCAGGAGTTCTTATACACTTTCTTTAAATTAAAGATCGCAATATTCAATATTAAATCTGTTGGATTTGATTCGTAATTACATGACGACATTAAATCTCTGTCCCAATATCGTGTCCCATGATGTCGTGATGGAAGCAAGCCGAGACGACTGAGGATATCACGGTGCTCCTGATATTCCCGAGTGTGTCGTCGCGTGTTAAAGTTTGCATGTTTGTAGTTTCTCGCTCTCAACTCTTCTCGAGTCTCGTGCCGCGGACGCGTGGCTGACACGTTTGAACTCGGCAATAATTCTAATATCCGATCCGTCAGTCCGACACGTCGGTAGGAAGTGCGCTCGGCCTTTTGCAACGCGCGGAATTTTGCAAGCGTGCCACGAGCGGGGTTCACCGCGAGCCGACCGCCAGGGAGAAACCGCAATATGCTCTTATTGGTGTGGTCTGGTTCGTAGGGACAACATTCTATTCGCGCCGGAGCCGCCGTGGACTTTCTATTTGCATTCTCTGTCACAAGTGTGAGAATCGATCCGAGTCTAATGCGCCCGGCGACTCGACTTCAGCTCGCGGAAATACGTATCAAATGTCGGGAAACGCCGGCACGGCGTAGTGTAGCGATGAAATCGCTCTTAGCACGACGTCACAATCGTAAATTACCGTTAACCCAACTGTCTCACTCGACCCGTCACGTCACATTTCAGCTGCGAATCTAATGAACTCGGAATCGATCCTTCCTCGACGGAAGCACAACGGAAGATGATTGCTTTGTTACAATAACTCTGAGAAAAAGAAATACTTGAAAATTGATTTGTGGGATACAAAGCTTGTTTGTGCGAATTATAAAGTATGTGTTTCTGTGAAATAAATCTTTATCTCACAAATGCATTTTCAAGTATTTATTTTCTTAATGTACAGAGTTTGAAGTTCATTCACGGAAATGAACTTACATATCCCGTAAATAAATGTCCAAGAATTTTCCTCCAATACAGTCAGGCACATTGACACACTCAATCTTCGAATTCGACATCCGACGAGGCAAAACGCGTTCAGGTAAACTCGGCCGAAATTAATCCAGAGATTTAATTACCCATACTTTTTAATCTTTCAGATCTTTTTTAACTTACAAGTTGCTTAGCTTCGAAGTAACTTCATGTTTCGCGCTCCCATCGTTTTACGACTCCCGTTCCCACAAAATATAATCTGTACAGTGTCTACAGATTTTCGGACAGTTTCTCCGTCGCAGTCGACGATTTCGTGGCTTGATCACGACCGTATCGTTGCTATGACAGGCACAAAGCGCGGCGGTTGTCTACTCATACTGTAAATACTACCCCTTGTTAGCGTTAACGCGTAGCGGCCACTTAGCGACTTGTACGCACAATAATTGCGCATAAATCTTCGTGAGGAAGAGTCTTACGTTAAAGTTGTTTTCTTCTTTTGTATTATTTGTAAACATAATGGAGAAAGAAAAACATCTCACTGCGAAAATCTGCTCTGCGCCGTCACTTCATTTTCCCAATCTCCCCAGCATCGTTTACTTTCGCTCGTCTCGCACGGACAGAGATCGGAGAATAGGCGTATCGAACGCTCATTTAATAAAATCGCGACGCCACAGTGGATACATTCGCAAGACGAATGATTGATATCCCGTTCCCGCGCTCATCCGCGAATGCGCATCGGCGGAACAAGATAAAGGCATGCATAATAAACGTAGAATTCATTATTCACGTTGTAACGGATCTCGCGCCGCGACGGAGTGCCGCTCTCAATGTCTCAGCGAAGAAAGCGAGGATACGCCTATTTACGGTCTCACCGTTAAATTACATTATTTCAATGTAATATGCCGAGCTGAGAATAAATTATTGCGCTCGCTCGGAATACTCCTCCGCTGGTATGTAAGCGAGAGGTTTGTAAGTAAATTCTCTTATGTATAACTCTCTTATCTTATGATGAATAGTTTAATGAAATAAATACAAATAATTGCGTGTTTTGTAGTTCCCTCTTGGCCCCGACGGGGTCGATCCTCGGAATGCTAAGTCGCGCCATCCTTTGACGGTCTGACTAACACGCTCTTTGTTCGACAAAACTTGTCACCCGCGTCGGAACGAGCATAATCTTGTTTCGCACGACCTGTCCCAGCGAAACGGGACCCTGTCGCCCGTGCATTGCCGGACGTGTGAATTTTTACGTGTAACTCTCGCGAGACGGAATTAACGAACCGACGACGCGCGTTATTTGCCGCGGCTAAACACGCACGCCGGCGCTTCCGCGAGTGGAAATTAGAAAAGTGGGAAAGGCGGCGTGGTGCACGACGTATATATAAACGTCGTTACGTCACGACGGCTCCACGTATTCACCTGCGGCGTTTTCTCCGCTCCGATTATGAGCCACGTGCCGTCGCGAACTAGCGGACGCTCGATTGAACAGTCGGCGCGTTCAGCGCTCGTAAATCAACGGGCAACATTGTCGGGCATCCCACAGACAGGCGTTTTAGGTGATGAATAGAAATTAAAATGGAAACATTAATTGCAACTGTGCAAGTCATGCCTGGGGAATCTTGCGTTATCTGCTTAATAACTCGTCTTTGTGTATCGGCGGCGACTTAAGAGAATACCGTTCCTGAAAAGGTTAGATAAATCTCATGCAGATTGGGTTGCATCTTATTCCGTTCGGTCACCTTGCGTATCCAATCAACTTCGACGTGCGAAATCACATAATGACCGTGTAAGACGCTGGTTTCGCTTGAAAGGTAATCTTAATGAAATGTCAATTTCAATAGAACGCGCGGCCCTCGAACGCGCGGAGGGACTTTCGTAACGTCGTTAATCATAAATTCGAGACTTTTTCCGCGCGCGGCGACTTGAATATATAATAAGCGCGCGCATCGAAAGCGATACCTTGATAAACAAGGATACGTATTATCCGACTTGAATATTCGATTTTGCGGTAAAAGTAGATTGTGAGCGTTCGGGTGAAAGTCATCGAAAATGAAAGGGTCGAGCGAAGTGTTAAATCAAACCACGCCAGACGGTTTACACATGACCGCTCGTTCCTAAAGTGTATTATCTCATTTTTTGAACGTGCGCGTGGATGCAATCTTGAAAGTAAATTGGATCGATGATTTATTCCCGACACTCTATATCGACAAGATGTATCAAGTTCTATTGCCTGCATACAATGAGATAAAGCTTCCTGTTGCAAAACGTATGGCGGAAAAGAAACATAATAATGTGGGCGAATTCAATTCTGGTGTATGTGTATCGATTCAGTTAAGGAAGCAAGCTATTTTTTCAAACCAAAAGGGCAATAATATTCCGGAATTTGTTTAAAGGAAAACTACTAAATGTATGTAATATTTGAATTTTATATATATATATATATAATTGAATAATATATTTACAATGAATTTAAAAAATTTGTGTTTTTGTGAGGAAATGAAGTCACAACATTAATTATTTCTTCAAGCCAAAAAAATAACGATATTGGGGAATTTATTTAAAACAAACTATTAAGTATATATTTAAATTTTTTATATATATATCTGAGCAATATATTTACATAAAAAAAATTTATGATGAGTTTTTATGCAAAAATGACGTTATAGCATTTATTGCCTACAGCTCTTGCACGATTCTCTGGCTTGCATAATTTATGTTTGTATAATAATCTAACTAAAAAACTGAAAAAGTTTCTGATAAAATAGTGTTGTAGTTATAATCTCTTTCAAATTAGAAATTAAATTTTGAAACAATTAAATTTTTTAGCTAATTCTAAAGAAGAAATTAAAATTTCTTGTTAAAATTTCTTTCTATTCTATTAAAAAAATAATTAAGACAAAAATTAAAATAAAAATGCCGAAAGACTATATAACTACAACACTATTGTATAAGTTTTTTTTTTCAATTTTTTGGATTGTACTATTATACAAATGTAAATTATATAAATCAGGAAAGCTGCAGACAATAATAATGTGACGTCATTTCAGCGCAAAAATATAAAAATAACATTTTCTAAATGTAAATATATAACTTAATTACATATATAAAATCAAACATATCCATCTGTTAGTTTTTTTTAAGTAAATTGTTGATATTGTTGTTTCTTTAACCTAAAAATGTAATTTACCCATTTAAGTATTATAATTAGATTGAAAAAAAATAATCATTAATTTATTTATTAATTTCTCTCTTTAATACTTTAATTTACTTATATTCTCTCTCTTTCGTTTTTGATCGAAAAAAATTCCATACGGGAGAAAGATCTAAAATACTATTTTTCTTTCGAAATTGCAACATACACATTGCCATACGTTTATATGCATTTATATAAGCAAGCAAAAGTATACCACCTGTATGATATTTGTATGAGTAAAGATATTAAAAAAATAAAAAAGTTTCTTATAAAATAGTGTTGTAGTTATAAGCTCTTTCAAGTCAGAACTTTAATTAAAATAAAATAAGTATATGTAAAGACAACTCTATCCCTATTTTTTTATTAATATAATATGCTAAAAACATTTTATATCACAGTAACTTAACGCGCAACCTTGAACTTCATTTCAGTGGACCGTAAAACTATAGATCACGATTTATTTATCGTTTTGTGGTTTAACGCAAGTCGCAGATTGTTAGCGAAAGTTTCACTACTGCTTTCTAAACACACTCTCCATTTTACCGGTAGAAGATGAGTGAGACAATTGCTACTATCGTTTAACAAACGACCGCGTATCTCCGCGATATATATACGCAATCTCTGTGTTCCGCGGGAATTCCTAAGTATCACCGCAACTATATAATTACCGTAAGTAGTACTTCACAGTTGAGTGAACGATATAAATTGATAATAACAAAAAATCTCCGTAACGTACTAAAATCCCTCAGCGGGAAACAAATTGTAGCACATACCGCATACTTGGAGAATTGATAATTGCGATATTTCACGAACCACAAGTAATCATAAGTACACTGAGAAAAATTATCCAATAAGAAATTAACAAACGGATATTTCTGATCAAAATACCGATGAATTTTTGTACCCGATCAGAAAACATCCGACGAGAAATATCGGTTCATAATTTCTTGATCAGTTTATCTGATGAAATGCCATTATGATCGAAAGTATTCAATTTAATCGGATAACCTAATCGGATATAAAAATTTATCGGTATTTTGCTCGTAAGTATTTGTTTTTTAATTTTTTATCGGATAATTTCTCTCAGTGTAAAATTATAATTTCAGAGAAAGCTGATATATATAAATATATCGTCAATATCTGTTGATTGAGAACACCTTTTAAAGACTATCAAAGAAACTTTTCTAAGGCAAGCAGTAGCATCGGTTGCGTTCCGTCATGATTGAGGAAAATAGACAAGCATAGGAAATGTCCAACAGCTGGACAGATGGACGCCGGTGTCATTAGCGAGTGTCAACGCGGTTCAATCACGCGGAATGGATAAGAAGTATGACGAGTACAGGACGGCGTTCATGCGCAACATCCTCTACCCTACGCAGTAAATGTCAAAAGGATGTGACGACCATTCCATTTTTACGACTCTCCCGGTAGATATAAACACGCAGATTGACATGATTTAACGACGGCACTTACGGCATTCAGATGCGCTACATGCCCGACGTGACGTTAGCGAGAAAGACCGGTAGCTACACAAAGATAACAATTGCAAACGCATAATCCTCTGAAGTAATCCAATTACAATAATTTCGCGGTAAAGCTTCACTTTCATCGTACATACGTGCGTTACGTGAAAACATTTCCTCGCAGTTGCGTCTGCGGAAAAAGCAAACAATATGCGATTTTTAGCAGCGATAATATTAATATCCTTCATATCTGGGAAATCTGTTGTAATAATATTATTTGATATCTCACTATCTGGCATCGAGATAATTATAAAATTTACATTTAATCTTCTCCAATTAAATCTGTGATTCATACTTCCCTAAAGAATTTTGTCCTGCACTTTTAGGTTATTTCTAAACACAAAGGAAATTTTTTTTACAGAAATGTTACAATTTAAAATATGCTTCTTGCGTATGTTTTTTAAAATTATTTGGTTCTAAATTTTGTTTTTTACGATTTCATGAGATTGTACAGGTTTTTTCTTTATTTTACGCTATTTTTAGAAGATGTGAACTGTATAATTCGACATATCTCGATGATTAATATATAAGAAAAGTGAATGTATCTCCAGATGAGAGAGAAAGGAAGAAAGAGAGAAGGAGAGAGAAAAGAAGGGAGAAAAAGGAGAGAGCATAGTTCCTAACGCACTTTACCACGGAATGCAATGCCGTACAGAAGGCAGCATACTCGAGGCGTTATATATCGTGGCATCAATGAGTCAGTCTACCAACACATAAAGAAACACACACAAGTTAATTATAGATGATAAAATATGTATTTAGGATGAGAAGTACTTTGTGATGACTTAGCGCCTATATTCCGACGGCTCGATGGAAATAATGAGCCAGATGCAATAATAAACTCGATTCGCATGCACGATAAAGTAGAACATTAAGGTCGTTACTTAGAAATTAATGTTTCTTCATGCAATCAATTGATGCTGCACAAACCAGTACTTTTCCACAATCACAAATTAAACTATAGAATTTCAAGCAGTGATATGTGGCTAATTTTGTGTGAAATAAAAAATGAACCATTTTTTAACATGTTTATGTTACCATTCATCATTCGTAATTTTCAGCCCTTGAATTTTCGAAAATTTACGTAAAATTGACTCAGTCAGTTGCATTTCGTAAATTCCTGTACGTTCTAATCGCGAGCGCTCATGGTGAATTGTTTGATTACATACTAAAGTGCATTTCGCAATTCGTATTCGCGGCTCGTTTTGGCACGCCTAAATAACATATTACCGTAATAAGGAACGGCACGGTTTCAACGAATTTTCGGTATTGTTAGTCACCGAAAAAGGAACGCGTACTTGTGCTTTCCAAAGGCATAATGTTGAATCTCTCATGGGTAACGAAGTAGGAGTGCCAGTTGAAATACATACGTCTGAGGTAATTTGTGATATGTGGCTGCGTTACTACCATTAACTCCACGCTCATTATCTATTTCTAAAAAAACTAAACACGTTAATTCCTATTTTCCGCGTTCCGCACTGTAACGTGTCACAAAGAAATCTATTAGATATTAGAAATTTATTCTATTCATTTTTAATACATTGGCGAGAATTGAAGCTAAAATAAATAGAAATAAGAACGTGCATTGACATATTAAAAGTTGACAATTTTTTAGTGAGAATTTTAATGATAAAGATTTATACACAAAAAATACAAACTGCATTCAAATAATTGTTACAAGTATATATTTCAAAAATTTATATGTTCTCCCAAAAAATATATTATAAGTTTATCAAATTTATTCAAAATTCTGAATTCTAATACTATAATATATATGTATTCAATATTTTGAATTCTAATACTAATATATATGTATCGATTTTTTGAATTATAAAGTTAACATATCTACTTGAAACAATTTAAGAAAGAAGAGAGTCGTACAATATCATAAAATAAAAATAAAATTTAGAACTAAAGAATTAACAAAAAATCACAAGAAATATATTAAAAATTGTAGGACTTCTGTAGTAAATTCTCCTTCATTTACAAATAATTTGTCATAAAAATTGCAATACAATAATTTTAAGGAAATATACATCACAAACTTAGTTGGAAGATATCTTTACTAAATATAAATTTTATAATTATCTTAATCTTGAATTACACGCCAGATGATGAGATATAAATAATATAATAAATTTAGCACTTCAGTCAAACATATTAAATTAAAGCAAAAATTCAGTTTGTTTGCTACACAAAGTTAAATTATCTTTTTCTTTAAAGTAAGTAAAGTTTATAAAGTTTTATAACATCTTTGTAAAGAGAACAAATTATTCTTTTAAGTACATAATAATGAGCTTTTTTCTGCAATCTGTCATCAGTATATCTTAAGATACTTCATTATATTAACTCCATTATATAAGAAAATATTTCCTGTTGAATAATCTGTAAACTGAGTAATCGCTTTCTTGAACAGTATGACATTTTTCTATGCGCAAAGTGACACAACGTCGAAAGTCGCGGGGTTTTGGTAAATTAAACCTCAATAACGTAAATGGATAACGAGATCTCATTTGTCGCTCAACTCCAACGGATTCCTCCCAACGAAAATGGTTTAATCCGCGGCTTAACTACCAAGTGAACGATAATCGGCAGCTTCTAAATCGAAGAGAGATTGCTGTGGGCAACAATGTAATTTTATCGACAATCCATCTATATCGAGACAAGCGCGAGAGGGTTAAGAAGACACCGACATCGCGGTTTCGTCGAGGAATTAGACGCGCGACCGGGAGAAAGTGCGCGTGTCTCCCGATACATCTCGTGCACCTTTCCCGGATATCCTGCATATTTTATTATTTCGGTGACAATGCGCTCGTGTCGGCCGCGTTGCAGGCGCGCGCGCGCGCGCGTGCAAATCCCAACTCGCAGAGGCCTCGAGGAGAGACAACAATCCTCAGCGCGGAGGAAACGTGCGACACGAGGCGAGATAGACAGCCGATACGTCCGCGAACACGAGGCCTATCAAGGTGGCATCAAAAAAGTGAATACGAAACACGGAGGAAATTGCATGATGTAATAATTGTCCTGTGGGAGTGCCTAGAGTGGAGCGAATACCACAATACCGGTGTTGCACACTATGGGAACTATTGTTACAGATTTTACAGTCTACTACTGTTCTTGCCCGGCCGTTAACTCCCACGTGGCTTTCACTTGTCTCCGGAGCCAAACTTCTCCGTTGTGTCCCATTCTGTCGGGACACCCCGTTCGTCCCCTCGTCGGGACGAGGGGGCGGGAGGGGGCGCACATCCGCTCCTTTTCGTCGCCCGTCGTCGCGGTGCACTTTCTTCAGGGGACCCCCTTACGCGGAGTCGTGCGAGTTTCTTCGGGTTTCCGGCAGTTTCTACGTCAAATCGCGACAAGCGGTTGGAGGAAAGGAAGGAAAAGGGAACAAAGAGCGTTAATCACTTAGGTTTGCGAGATTTGCTTCGGGAAGATCGTTGGTTTATGTCAGCATGAAATCACGAGGACTCGCGTGTGTCTTAATAGGAGAAAGGGATGTACACGTTAAATGATTAAAACGGCGTGAAACCTGCCCGGGATATAAAAGTTGGACACTAATCATAGCCAGGTCGGTCTCTTTAACAAAGGCGGAAAGCAACGTCGCTTCCCCATCGTCCGTTTGCGAGCACCGGTCGATCACCCAACGAGCGCCTCTTCGCGCCTTCCACTCATTAAAGTAATCCCGTCTTGGGCAATTTCGCTGACGAGAGAACGCGCTGTAATCGAGATGAACAAACACAGCAGCGTGGGCCTTTATTGTCGCGTATTTACTGCTCGCCCGCAGAACATTGCACCTTTGCGTAGTTTCTCTTTCTCTCCTCTCTCTTTCTCTTCTTTTTACGGCAGTCTAGAGCTGTCATTTGGTATTCCAATGCTTTAATGAACGTTTAAGGGTCATCAAGGTTGAGCGTATGGCGGAGCGACGCGGCGCGTCGTGGAAGGGGCGCGGTGGTTGCCTATTGTGTCACCCTATATATAACGGCACCCGACACCCCACGCGGTATTAAGAACATTCACCGCATCCGCGGTAACATGGTTTCCAGTTCCAGCAAGGTATACTCACCTTCCCGTGCAAGTCCATCGACTGCGGGCGCAAGTGCGCGAACGCGTTCGTGGTGCGCGATCCGTGCGCGAGAGGCGAGATCGATTTCAGCCGCTATCAATCTAAACACAGTGTTCGATCCGAACGTTCCGCCGATTTTTCGCGAGGTCGACGTTGGTGCTCGTGGGAAAGTGCGCGCATCGGCGAACGGCTGCACGTGATGTTTCTCACCCGTGCACCAGCAGGATTTATCCTGAAATCTATCTGAAAACGCCAAACGTTGTAAAGTGACGTGTGGACCGTTATGTGGATGAAAACGCGTTCAGGGAGTACCTCGCCTTGCGCGTAAACGTGGAATAAATTCAAAGTATTGTAGTCGCCGGAGGAAAGATCATTAAGAGAGTTCGCCGTTTTTCAGAATTCACTCACTCATTTGACGTAGTGCACATCGTTTTCCGCCTTGAAACGCTATTTCCTCATAATATTCACGATAAATTATCGTCGTGCTTAGAGTCGCGCGACTACTACTGCGTTCTTGCTCCAGAGAGAAAAATCATCTTTTGCTTTTAAGATGACGCCATGGCTGATGGCATTCTTCTGTCTGGTGACTGCCGGCTGCACCAACGTCACGGACCAGCAAACATCGGAAACGCAGCATGATCATCAAGTGGCGATCTTGAAACAAATCAGAAAGGTGAACGAAGACGGTTCTTACACATATGGCTACGAGGCCGGCGACGGATCGTTCAAGGTGATTACGCGTAAACAGCGTAATATCGACCGCGCCTGTCGGCTTTTTTTTTTAAAGCAATAAATCGCATCGCGCACATGTTCCCACAATGTATCGCATATAATTATCGTCAGTTTTTTCCTTCATACTGATTACAATCACGGCGGCTAGATTGCGCAACGTAATGTGATGTTAATGACAATGTTAATGCCACATCAATGTCAATACTTACTCTGGTAATCGCGTAGAGACGCAATCGCCTCCCACAATTGTAAGTTCGCATACAAATCTTGTTGTATAACACCTGATGCTCTTATCCATACGCACTTTTGAAATTTACAATGTTGCTCGCTTATTAATAATTGGAACGCGAAAAATACTTTATCTTTTCAAATATAAACGATAGCTAAAGCTTCACAAAATTATTTACGAACCTTTTAGTTACGCTGGAGTTACCTGATAATAGGACAATAATTTATTTCATTTTCCTCAAAATAAGACTGCACATACAGGATGTCTGATGATATGTGGGAAAGCGCTCGTGTACACGTAAATCAGTTCGAACTGAACACAACACTCCTCTACCATTTTTTCAAACAACCACGTAAAATTTTGAGATCAATTATTTAAATTAATTATTTAACCTAATTAATTAATTAACCTAATTATTTAAATTAAATAAAATTTTAGATTAAATTAATTAAAGGTGATTAGCAAATAATTGCGCGCAATCGTCCGGCAATCTTCTTTAGTTAATAACTTTGAGGAGAGGTAGGCTAAAAAGAAAGATTACGTGTCACGTTAGTTGCACGGTATTTGCTATTTATTAATTGTTGAAATAAAAAAAAATTTTACAAATGTGCTCAATCGATCACAAGTGTCATTTCACGGACATAACCTTTCGTATTCCGCAAGAATTTTCGACATATGTTTTCTCGACCCTCTGATATCATTAACCAAGGTAGTGGCCGGAACACAAAAGTCTTGGTGAATCAGAATTTTGCGTGGTTGTTTGCAAAGTAGTAGAGGGCTTTTCAGTTTGACTTAATTCACATGTACACGAGTGTTTTTCCGTATATTGACACTCTGAACAAATTCGTAAAACATTGGAGAATTTTCAGATGTTCGCATGATTATTTCATGCCAAACTTGAATCACATTTGCGATGATCCCGCGCGTGAAGAATTAAACGCGGAACACTTGCTTCATTAGGTCGAGAGTCGCGATGTTCTGGGCAACATAAAGGGCACATTCGGCTTCGTGGACGCCGATGGCGAAATAAAGAGAGTCTCGTACTCCTCGTCGAACGGGACGGGCTTTAAAGCGACCACCGTGTCACCGTTGCAGGAACACGTGTCGGTCGTGCAGAGCATACCGCGTGTCAACCGCACGGTAACGAGCACGAAGAAGCCGAGCATCGTGTACGCCACGACGACGACGGAGACGCCGACCAAGTCGTCGGTCGTACAGTCGATTCCTCGGACGAGGAAAACGACCACCAGTACCACCACGACGACAACAAGCACCACCACTACGGAGGCCCCGAAGACGATATTCGGGCATTACTTGAAAGGCACGCCGAAGAGCAGACCTCGTTTCATCATCAACGGCCAGCAGAGGCCGATCGTGGTGGACGAAGGCATCGAAGACGAGGACTCCCAAATCAATCGACCCACCACAGACGACAAGAGCGGTGTTTACCGAAGAATCGTCTTCGCAAAGCGGCCGATCGAGCACAGCCTCCCGCCTATCTCCGAAGACTTCGTAGATAAAGAGGACGAGGCTAAAATCACGACGGGGAACACCTTAAGGAGGCAACTACACGACGAGACTACTAAGCCAAACTCGGCAACGGATAATAGCGACGATCACTCCGATGTCTACGGAGGTTCCTTATCCACGACGCGTCCCCTGTTCACCACGTCTTCTCCGAACAGGATTTTGCAGAGAATCCCTGTGACTTCGCGACCAAAGATCTACATCAATCGGGACAATCTAGGGCCAAACCGATTCGACAACTCCAAGTATGAGGGATCTCCTCGGATCTTCGAGACAGAGACGAAGCCCACTCAGGACGATCGCGCGCCAACCCAGCAAGTCCTGCTTCGCCCTTCCACGAGATTGCCCGGTGAAAACCGAGACTATGTCCGACAGAGCACCGAACCGGTCTACGTGAGGCAGCAACCCGAGCAGTACCTGCGAGAACTACCGTCCAGAATACTCGTGTCGTCCCAGCAGAGCAGCATCGAGGAGGACGGAGGAGGTGTCTACAGGACGATACCGATCGGCAGGATTCTGTTTCGACATCCCCCGAATCAACAACCGGGCTCGGTCTATTCGACCACGACAGATCCTAACATCCACTACCTGACGGAAAACCCCGGCGTGGTCGATCACGAGGACGAGGCGCGGGTCGCGATGAACGCAAATTACATGCGATCGCGTCCGGTAATGCGACCGTTGCTCTACCAAGAACCCGAGCAGAGGCGGCCGATCCTGCGCCCAGTTCCGAATCCAGTAGTCCATCCCGATGAGAGAGACTACCAGCCGACCACACCCGAATATCCTTACCGTCCCAACCACGGACTGGCGCTACCTCCAGAGTCACCGAATCCCATCGCACCGCCTCTGAGCCGACGCGACTTCCAAATGCTACTGAGGAGGCTGCTGGTCAGTCAATATGGCGTGCAAGCTTTGTCCTACCCGAAGAGCTACCTCGAGGACGCTTTGTACGATCAGCAACCGTATCCCTCGTACCCGGCAGGCTATCAGGCGCCACTTCCCAGACCCGATTTGGCGTTTGATCAACAGGTGCAATATGGCGAACGAGTACCCCTCAGACGGCCGGTGTACCCCAGAGCTCTGAACCCGCTCTATCATCAGTACGACGACTACCACGACGGGAGGTACTCCAAGAGAGTCTACAGACAGAAATTCTACACGCAGGACATAACCGACGACGGCGACGAGATCCTGCCGGCACCGATCAGGGAAGCATTGCTATTGAGAATGGTGAACCTAGCGATCAACGCCGAACGAACGACGATAATGCCGACTACCATGGTAACCAGCACCACGACGCCGTCCTCGAGCTACAGGAAAACGGGTCCGGTGAGAAGCGTGCAGATCATCACGAACGACGCCGAGGAGGAGAAAGACATGATGAGGAAGAAGATGTAACGAAGGCCGAAGCGGCTAGGAGTAGTTAGGGATTCCTAACGAAGAAGTATTTTACTCGCTGCAAGTAAATTATGAGTTAAATTATTGTAGAGTTTTTGTTCCTGTGCTCTCTTTCACCGCAGCCATCTTGATCAATGATGTCAGAATAGCGAAAATATATGTGCCCAAAGTTCTTGCGAAATACATTGGAATAAAAGATATATCCATAAAGTGTCACTTGAGATCGACTGAGCAAGTTTGCAAAATATTCCGGAGACTTTGCCTTTACTCTAATTAATAAATAGCTGAAAAACTAACGTGACGAGGTCATGAGAAAAGGAGGATTGTTAATTTCGAGGAAAAGGAAAGTTTTCGGAAAGTTTCACAAATATGGTCAATCGACCGCAAGTATCATTTTGAGCATATCTTCTTATTTCAATGTAATTCGCCAGAATTTTGGGCATGCATTTTCTCACTTCTGACGTCATCAAGCAAGAATTCCGCGACCAGGGGATCAGGAGCCTCAGCTAGATGTAACTCGACAATTTGCATCGCGACACGGCTTTTCACAAAACGCGCAAGGTCTGACGAGGCAAACCGCGAATTAGCGTCTCGCAATATTTCGGGACATCGCCGTCGTTAGATACGCTCCTTTTTAAAGTTAGAAATTAGATGACTGCTTGATCCAAGCAGATATTCAAGTTTTGTTAAGAGAAAGAGCCGATTCCAAAGGTTAAGAGATGACCTCACACTTAAATATACGTGGTCCATGATTTGTTAGTGCTAAGTATACTGGAACGCCGTCAAACCCTCGTAGTAATGTACTTTAGGCGTGACAAAGCGGCTTACGTCAACGGCAGCGATTTTTCTTGCGGAGAACGAACGGATATATACACGTCCGTCCGCGAAGACCACCGCGCACGCAACGGACGCATTCGTGTCGTTAATGAATCGAATCGGTTTCACGAAAGGGAAATCGCCGCTGCGCAGCTCGGCCGATTTTCTGCACGTTAACTTTCCAGCGCCTGCCGACGCGCACATTTATCATTCGTCGTCGCATAATTTATATCTACCAAAGTAGACGCATCAGTGTATGGCCGATTGAGAGAAATAGACAATGGAATTTCTTTTCTCTCTTGCAGAAAAATAATCTTCACTCATATATTTACCCTCTAGCTATCGCGTAAAGTTAATTCCTGCTACTCTGTTCCGTGTTGAAATCATCTCATCTCATTTATAAAATTAATAATAATAGAATAAAAGGAAGTGTAACGTTGAAATCACCGGTAAATGATTAACCTAGGGGTTAGGTTAATCAATAGCTTACATTAACAACTTATATTAACAACATTAACAACTTCGGTAAAACAGCTTAAAATGTGTAGTACAATTACATCACGATAATCATATAAAGATGTTACATTTCTCCAATTCTGGAGAAATATATTTACGTTGCTTTTGAGGCCCCTCGTCGCGGCAATCTCGATTGATGACGTCAGAAGCGAGAAAATGTGTGTCCAAAATTCATGCGAAATACACTGAAACAAAAGGATATATCCATAAAGCTGTGACCGATCAAGCATATTTGTAGAATATTCCGAAAACTTTCCTTTTGTCCTAACAATCAATAAATAATCGTAGGAATTACGTGACATGCAACCTTTCTATTCAGCCTACCGACTCTCATGATTTTTCTCACGTGATTTCTGCGGTTATTTATTGATCGTTGGAATTAAAAGGTTTTGGAATATTATATTATAGATATGCTCAATCGATTACAAGTGTCATCTTATAGACATAACTTTCTATTTCGGCCTATTCTGCAAGATTTTTGGTTTTCTCGCTTGCGGCGTCATTAATCAAGATAGGCGCAGCGAGGACGCAGCAGCCTTAATTGCACTGAGAAACAAAGAGGTGCAGCAAACATTCGCTAGCAAAAAATCTGTCATTGATGCATCTATCCTTGCTGACTATCTGGGAGAGATCCCGCGGGACATCGGTCTCCGTTGAGTCGCAGGACACCGCCTGCGAAAGCCCTAGCCTCGTAGGCACCGCTAGCGTACTCCACTCTTACGACTGTAAATACGCTATGTTACGTAAACGACTAGTGTGATATATACGCATCGAAATAAAGAAAGAGTCGGACGGTAGACAGGGCGTTGTGTGAGAATTCATTTCATAAGTCCCTGAGAGTCAGCGTTACCGGGAAAGAATAGTAACGCGTCTACTGCCGGTAATTAGCGTCGCGACTTGCGACACCGGCCTGGTCGGATCTACACAAACTTGCACAGCCGCGCGCGAGTATGCGGCCGAGGGCGGAGATCATAAGATCTCGCACGACGGTTTCCACGCATTCGGAGAGCCCGCTTGGCAAATTCTTAGTCGGAAAACACGTTACTCCACACGACACAGATACCGCTGGCGTATCTGAGAGCCTGAAAGCGGAACTCCCGACAAATGCCCGATTTGCACAAGTGTCGAAATGCAAGAGTGATCAAACAACCAAATTGTTAATAGGTTTCATTAATTAAACACAGATCGCGAATTTGATATTCGGAGTGGATTAAGAAAATTACACACACAATAATTGTTGTTGAAATTATCGCCCATTTGATTGATAATGAAAATTGTAATTGCAAATTGGTTCGTTATTGTCATATGGGGGCTTTCGGGGCAGCTGATGACGAAACTGAAGTAAAAAAATCTAAATTCAAAGTGGCGAATCCAATAAGTATAGTTTTTAAAATTAATAGTCTTTTAGCATTACCCGAAAATATAACAATGAGGATGCAGCGGAAAAATATCTATTTTCATATTTTTTATTTTTTTATTTTTTCTCTAATTTTTCTAATTTTGTAATTTTCTTAATTTTTCTAATTGTTTTATTTTTTCACTTTTCGTTATTCGCACTTTTAACAAAAAAATTTTATAAAAAATATCAATATTTTAATAGTTTGTTGTAAAAAAATAGAACTTACTAAAAATATTAAAAGGAATGTGTAAAGAGAAGATATTATTAGTTATCCTGAGTAAACTATTAATATTCCGATGCGTCGATTCTTAATAGTTATATTCTTAAAATTATATTCTTAAAATAATATTTGTTTGCAAAAAAAGTGCTTTTCTTACTACACTTACTTATTTATAATAACTTAACAATTAAACATATAAATGATTTTTTAGTTATTCTTACTTCCTTATACTTATGAAAGCTTATAGTAATAATATAATTGATTAACTGTGCTGATAAGTTGACTAAAATCACCAAAAATAAAGAAGGAATAAGTGGAATGTCCCTGCTATGGCTAAAGGGGTTGAAAAACGCGTAACGTGCGTAATAACTTATCTTGACATCAAGATTTATCAAGAAATAAAATCAACGAATAGTTTATTATTCCTTTGAGTGTACCGCAAGTAGTAACAGCAAGTCCTATATTGAGTTATCGCCTGCTTGAGAATGTCGATCAAACGAGTCCCGGCGCAAAGAGTGACGTGTGAAATATCTCAATTCGCGGCGAATGGCAGGCATTTTTCTGCGGCACCTCTAAACAGTGTTTCTGACTTTTCGACATACACGCCGGATATGCATGCGTACCGACGTGAAAGGCCGACGTCAGGACATTGGGACACTAATAACGCGGGCAGTGATCTTACGCAGTGTCTGAATCGCGTCTTCCGGTATTCGCCGTGAATACGCCAAGTGCCAAAGACGTAGACGCATTTTCGCGATGCTATCGGCATCAATAAGGACATTTCACCTGTGAGCTATCTAATTAGAACGTCGCATCCGCCACGGCTTTGCTCTTTCCTTCTTTCTCTCTCTCTCCCTCTTTCTCGGGAGCAATGGAAAGTCGACACACATTGTTGTCTCAGAGAACGTGCGTAATGCACAGGTACACTCGCAGCTAACGAGTTGGGAAATAACGAACGAGGAGAAAATCGACAAAGTACTCTCGATGTAACGTTCGGATGAAGCGAAGCCACTTCAACAATAGTCGAGAGCGAATAGCTCGTGGCGAAAACAACTCGCTCATCTCTCTTACGCAGACTTCTACATAACACGTGGACTGCTATACTCAGACATGATGCACAGGTAAGCCGTCAAATTTCAAAAAGGCAAGATGAATATATACAGGATATGAAAAGAGAAAAGACTCAAAACTTAAAGAACATACACTATATAGTACACAGGAAAAAGAGGAAAAGGCACGGAAATTTATTCTCAAAATTTTCAATATCTTGTGTTTATGTGGCCTTTACATTAACATCACATATTAAACAGTAAATTTCCAAATTTCCAATTTTAATGAAATCGTAGTATGAGAAATAAATAAATAAATCAGAGATTTACGTGTAATGTTTTCATTAAATATGTAATTTATTCAAAGACAAAGGAAACCTGCTCTTTTAAAGTATTTACACATTTTCTATTTTTAATCAGTTGTCAACTCGTTACTATACTGATTTTGAAACAGCAGGAAAAAAATAATCACGAAATATAACACCCGATATATATGCCTTTCTGAAACATGATTGCCATTCCCAACACCATCTGCATCGATTTCTCAACCGTGCACCCATAAATGTTAGCAGTCTAGATATAGTATAGAAATCTGTAGTTACGTGTTTCTCTTCCTTTTCATATCCGCTAATATTCTTCAAATGTACGCGGATAACTTTATCATCAGCGACTTTCCGCACATGATACTATCAGTTTAAAGCGCGTTTACCTGTTATTATTCGCGATTAATCTGTGTTAATCGCATCGTTTTGCAACGATTCTCTCTGGAGCAGCGATCCTTAGAATATCTTCCGCAAAATTCAAAGAGTAGCGTGTTATATATGGAGAGAGAATATTGTCTCACTTTTCTTCATATATAAATTCTTTTCAATTTTAACATACTCTCTAGTACTGCAGAAATAGATGGTTAGAATAAAGTCTATCTAGCCAAAAAACATAGTAAATTTTTTCGTAGTAAACCTCAACACAGTCCCTGAAATATAAATAGCATATATGAAACAGAAGGATAATGAATTATGACAAAATGCTATTGACATATGATATATGATAAATATTCTTCAATTACAAAATCCTATATGTATAGTAAATTTGCTATAAAATTTTTTGTCTGTAATGAAAGGATTGTCCTATGTGCAATAAATTATAGTAGATCCATTGGCGCAGTTTTAATTATCATATATTCTATTTTTAATCTTTTCACTATCGTGGTATACTCCGAGAACAATCTGTGCTAATCGTATAAAAACGTGTTCTCGTGCACTCCTATAATCCTTGCTCGTAAAACTTTATATACATTTATCGTGTTAATGGTATACTCGCAGTACGTATTCACTGTACACTAGACTTTATCGTGGCAATCGCGCAGGAATAGATTATCCTTGTTGCAGGACGAGACGTGAAAATGGCACGGGGACGATTTTCACCTAAAGACAATAGCGATTTAGTTGGAAGTTATCGAGACCTTCGAGTGAATCGACGCGGAACGCGGCACATTCTTTAGACTCTCAACATCATCCTCCAACGCGTACGGCCCAAAGGGCTCGGTCTGTACACCCACGTCCTCGTAATCGAGCTCCAGCGTGTCTTGCTCGTAGATTACGTCGTGACTCCGCGGTCTTGCCACGGACGGTATCCACGGCTGCGGGACGCCTTTGCCAAGAGCCAGGAAGACCGCAGCGGTCGTTAACAGAACAACGGACGCGACACCAAACACCAATCGCCAAGAGCCAGCGATCTGAAATCGATAGGCACGTTTTCTTCGCGATTACGAATCAAATTGCACACGCGGAAACTGACAATAAAATTGCGCTTTTAGCTCGTCGAAGAAACTTAAACAACATTAATTTTGCATTAATTAAACACATCGTGCTACTTTTGACTGAAAGACTCAAGTTTCTTTTTAATAAAAGAATATAACAAAATTGCCATTAGAAGGTATCAAAAGTATGAAAAACTCTTAAGGTAAGTCAATAAAAATGTTTCTGATCGAATCACTGAAAGGAGTATTTCGCCGATAATCAGTGAACGTTCACTGACTTTCAATGGAACTGCCACTTTACTGTTCCATTTTACGGATTTTAACCAGTGAAAGCGAGATTTCACTGCAAAATCTGTAGTACACAAATTCGTTATTTGTTCAAATCCAATTTCCTGCGATAGAATTAAGGACTTTCATGCGATTCGCGTGTAATGATACTGTCAGCGTTTGTAAACTGCATCGATAATAGGAACAGTCGCTACTATCAGCTGATTCTCACAGCGAGATTTTACTGTGGTTGCAGTGCACTTATAATTTTTCTACTAAAAATTATCAATTATAAATGTAGCACATTTCAATAAAGAATACACTGATTGTACTTTAGAAAGTAAACTTAGCTTTTTGTCAAGTTTTAACTTAGTTCTAGACCGGTTTTTACGTTCTCAATGATGACTTAACCGGAAATTAAGAAAAAACGCGTGGCGTAGCGTGAGTAATTTGAAGTATAGAAAGCACACGAGAACTCTTCGCGAAATTATTCTTACGCAAGTGACGCGTGTGTCCAGCGTCCGCGGATGCGGCGAGAGAGAACGCGATTCGGCCGGTTACACTTGCGCGGGCGGCACGTGTGCCATGCCGTGTCGTCCGGCCGTAATTGAACTTACGGAGCCATGAAGAGCCTGAGTGACGAAGTAATTGGCGGCCAGCAATCCCGCGGCTCCCAAAGTGGAGCAGAGCGCGCACGCCGCCGCGGCGCACGCCGGCGATTCCGCAGGTGCGAGGTCAGCTATGGCAGCGAGTGCACCGGCTGGTGCAGTACCGGAAACGAGGAGGGCTGCTATCCCCAGCCAGGCAGCGCCCAAGGCCTGACAGCCGGCGTAACCGGCGACGAAGAGGAGCGCCGCGGGGATGAAGTGCGCTAATCGATTGATTCACACTCTAAATTTCTTGGAGTGAGATTTCACTCCAAGGTAGTGAAAATTGCGCCAGTCGAAGTTAGAGCGAGAATTTCACTCCAAACGAGTGAAAACTCACTCCAAACGAGTGAGAACTCATTCCAAGCGAGCAATTTTCTCACTCTTGGAGTGAGTTCTCACTCGTTTGGAATGAAGTTCTCGCTCTAACTTCGACTGGCGCAATTTTCACTACTTTGGAGTGGAGTCTCACTCCAAGAAATTTAAAGTGCAGTTTGTATTACAAAGTATTACAAAGAGAGAATTAAGTCCTCAGAAGTGTCGGAGGAATCTTTTAGCGTTACACGTCATAAAAAGCTTTTAATTTGTGTACACAGAGAAAATCTTTTTTTATATAAAATCGAGAAGAATTTATATTCTTCTATGTTTCTAGTAGGAGCAGACGATTAGTATGATCTATCTTGCTAAGAAATACAGGAAATTTCGCTAAAAATATAGTAGATTTTCTAATAACACATTTCAGTTCAGAAGATATATAAATAACATATATGAAACAAAAGAATAGTCAGATATATTGCAGAATATTGATCTGTTCCTCAGTTACAAAATTTTACAGTAATTTTTACATCCTCTCCATGTAACTAGACACATTGAACTATTTCGTTTTCATTCGTTACGAAGCATGATAACGCCAGCAATCTATTTACCTCACAGTGTAAATAAAACTATAGCCTGATGCATCAATTCTGTGTTCTTTTTCTGCTTATAACAATAATATAAAAATTAAATTAAATACTGAATATTTTATAAATTTCTAATCTCATGAGATATATTTCCCATAGCAATAATATTACTAAACAGTGTAATTATCCTTTACATAAATATTGACTCGCGTATCAGACTTAGAATTATTTAAAATAAGAATTTAGAAGACTATTAGAAGAATTATTATTTAGAAGACTTAGAATTCTTAGAGGACTTAGAATTCTTACATGCATTTCGCAGTGTTGTAAACGTATTGCCGTTTATGGAGTCATAGAGATAGTCATAACGCACCTGTGTAGACGACCAACTTTCTCGCGGTAGTCGTGGAAACTATACCAGACTCGCGGACGTGATCGACGAGAAGACCGCAGGTCAGCGCAGCCATGAAGTGACCGATGTGAGGTAACGTGGTTAGCACTGAATCCTGAATTGAGTGGCAACTTAGTGACGAAACGAGACTTGCTACGCTCACAGCTGTCTCTTCACAATATCGATCGTAGAACTAAATCCTCGACTAAGTGTCGTTTCGCGTGTCATTACTTGTCGTATGTAATATATAAAATATACACATTTTTCCCTTGTTTTCTGCCTGATATCTTTTATATATTAATGTGATAAAAAATTGATACCCTTTTTTTAGGTATGAATTGATATTTGTTTTTCTACACAAGGAGAGAATTTCCTCTCGAAACAAGAGAAATAAATCTTGTTTAGAATATTTTACACTTGGTACCCTATTTTAGATAATTTTTCTAAGAACAAGAATATCAACTTTTCAGTGTAAGAACAGGGATTATCGCGAAGTACCAGCGACAACATTAAATTTTGTTCGACTTACGTTAGCTGTGGAGAAGCCATAGATGAGTTTCAGGTACTTTGTCATGCCAAGGGCGAGTGTCGCGTCGCCCCATTGATTTCCCATGGTCGCCACCGCGGACGCCCAGACGGGTACGGATCTCAAGAGTTTTCCCCATGGTATCACAGCCGCCTGTGATCATCGGTGTAACCTCACAACCGCGTCGAAAAAAACTATCACGTCGACTAGTTATATATATCGCGAATGTCAAGATAATACTGCAATCATTGTGAAACGAGTTTATCGCTCGCGTAGATGCTAATTAAGAATGTATTGCCTGCATAGTCTCTGCAAAAAGTTACTGAAAACTCGAAATACGCTAATATTTCTATTTTCTGTATAAAAACGTACACAGTGTATGTGTACGACATACAGTTGAATATAACAACATTCTTTTACTTTAACATCACACATTTCTAATTTACTTGCTCTATTTCATATTATTTCTGACTCTTAAACTTTGATCTCTGAACCACAATGAAACTTTGCATACATAATTTTAATACTTGAAAATACAAAAATTGAGATTTCTCTCATAATTTCTCTTAATTATCTTTTCCTCTGTTAAACATATCATATATTTTTATGACAGCACGTCATCAAAACGTCATTCGACATCATTATATTTGCTAGGCTTACGCTTCAAAATAGACTAACTTTTGACTCCAGACTCTGAATCAATATCAAATTGTTCGTGATTACTTTTAGATGCAATTAATTCTTTAAAAATTCTCTCATTATTTTTGAGATATCAGCAATTCACTTTTAACGCGCCAGAAAATTTCTAGAGTCAGCGTGAGATCACCCATAGATCAGAAATCTCTTATCTGACGGCTTGACATACTTAATTAGACTATCGAGTGCACGATAGTCTCCGAACAACGCTGAACTAGCCGAAAAAGTCGCTTACGGTTGTGTCGTGTTGATAGGACTTGGGTGTGTCCTTGACGAATCGGCCAAAGGCGAAGTACCAGCATAGAGCCAGGAGAACCAGACCGTAACACAGAGAATCACGGCCGAACGTTCGCACCACCGCGGTGCCCAGCCATCCGGTGAGGCAATAACCCACGCTGACGGCTTAAAGCATGGGAATTAGGATTAGTCCATTAGCTCGAGTCTCCGCGCGATCATTAAGAGCGCTCAATGAAATTCCTCCAAAAAAATCTCCCTGGCGTCTAAATATTTCCACGACTATTATTAGTCGTATAAAAACACGCTAACGAACACTGCGTTATCTGCGACTGCTCTTATTCGTGATTTCTTACTCAAACAACCGCGCTTGCAACACCGTCGATCTACCTGCGTAACAACTGAAGTACCAGCTCCTGTGGTTGCTCTTAAACCAGGTCATAGCGAACATGTGAGCAGCGGGCATGGTCGCGCCCTACAAAAGAAGATGTCGCAATAATTCATCGCGTTTCACGTGGCTCGCTCGTGTGCGCCGCATACGTTAACGTAGAAACGTCTATTTTACGATGCCGTGCGAAATGTGCGAGCTTTCATCGCGAATCCGCGGACTGTGGCGATAAAGTCTACCGACTTACGGTACATAATCCTTGAAACAAGCGTAGAGCGACGTGCGATGGTCCCCGCCAAGCGGCGGGTACTAATAAGGATGCTAAACAGGCGCTAAGAACCGCTCGTGAGAACACCATGGAGGGCCCGGATCGACCCCACACCAGGCAACCTCCCAAGATAGGCCCGGCCACCTGTCCCCATAAGAAAGCCTCACGCATAATTGACTCCGCTCGTTCCTCCTGTGGCAGCTATCGTTCATAATATGAGTGAGAAACATTTCCCATTTACCATTTCGCAAGATGTAAAATATTTCTCAGTGTAACTTTCTTCAAGATTGGAACAAAAGTTCTCCAAGACAGATTTAAAATCTTTTATCATTCTTAAAATATGATTACTACACCTTTTACGCACTAACCGACACGCATATCTTTTTTTTGAAACCACGAACTATCATGTCCCTCTCATCATTTTGCAATATATAAAGCATCTTTCAATATCTCTCCTATTATAATATTAGAACTATATAGTATATATTAGAACAAAGATATATATATATATATATATATATATATATATATATATATATATATATATATATATATATATATAT